ATAAAAATAATCAATCAATAATTATGTCCATGTGTATGTCAGTGGGGAAAACTAATCCTAACCATCCAAACTTCCTGAAAGATGTTTTTATTTGCTGCTACTGTGGTGCTGAATGCCTTGGAAATGTCTCTTATTTCTACAGTGCTATCTGAAAAAGAACAAGGTCTAAAATGCCATACAAAACCCGGATTTAAAAAAAAATAGATTAAAAGTTCCCCAAAAGGCAACTACAACCATCTACATCTGGTTGAAGAATGTGAAGATGTTCGAATCAAGAATTCTATCCATATTCTGGTCACGCGCACACACACACTTTTCCTCACTTGTTTCTAAGACATGGGCATGTATCTAGGATGCTGAGATGGCTTTCAAATTTTGAAATATAACAGAAATGCACCACTCTGTACCAGGAGCTTCTCCAGCCTTGGGTGGGCTGGCTCTGGGCAAAGTGGTGGCACAGGAGCCAGAACTTTCTCCTTCACTTCTGAACATACTGAAGACTATTGAATGGTTTTAGAAATCCTAGACTTCCTTAGGATCTATTTATGATACCCACATCCTCTGCAATGTAGAAGTAGTTTTTAGCAGTGTTATTCTTTTGAAGTAAGATTTTATTACAAAAAATTGATAACTGCCCATAAATAGTTCAAACAAACCAAAAAATTGTAGGAGGCTTACCCCAGCCAATGATGCAGAACTTCAGGATATATCGGCGAATGTAAGTGTTAAACACCTTCACCAGGGCAATGTACATGTGGATGGCTTCCAGCCCCATCCAGGTAAAGGTGGCCAGGAGAAAGAAATGCAGCAGGGCTGCCATGGAGGTGCAAAGCCCCGTCATCTGGAAGGAGGCGACCCAGCCATCCAAGAGGAAGGCGAGATTCAGGAACAGCAGGGCTGTGCTCAGGTTCATCAGGATTTTGGAGGGGTAATCCCTTCTCAGCTTTCTAAAGAAGAAAGAAGAGACATACTAGAGCTAACTTTGTAAATAAGTCATTTTTCATCACAGGCAGTAAATATCTTCCGTAGCTCAGCAAGGACTAGAACCTTCCAGGTCATGGTTCCACTAGGAAGAGGGCTTTGGAAAGTTCTAAAGTTCTTTTAAAGTGTTATTTTTATTTCAAAACTGTTTCTTATTGTTTGTGAGTGTTTCAACTGATTTCAAGAGAGTGGCTTCTTTTAACCCAGGTAACCTCAGTTGGAACATTGATATTTTTGCTAAAAAGCAATTCCCCTAATCCATTTTGAACCTCCTTGATTTTTAATGAGGTAAGAATTATTTGTTAATGCTCTATTTCAGAATGTGAAATATTTGTGAAGCGAGTGATTTTAATTTTTACAATCATATAAAAAGTATTTTCAACATTTTTAAATGTTAATCATCTGTTGCAGTTTGAAATGCATTTTGGTAATTAGAAACACAGTGATTTTAAGATAAGATTCTAGAGATGGAAAGTTCATGTTGCATGATGCCTTTTAAGAGAAACCTAAGTATTCACATTGAACCACCCTTGTGAATCATCACAAAGAGTGTAAATATTTTTTAAATCAGAGACAGTTTTCTTATTCATTTTGGCACAGTTAGCAGTTGGTTTGGCAGATAGAAAAATACTTACTCAAAAGCAATGTAAGTCAGGAGAGTTGCTGCTGAAAAAATAGCAGATATTCCACACCCAATGTTAGAGATGAAGGTAAGAATTTTAGTGTTTGTTGCATCTATCTGTGAGGCAGTTCCTTGAAGATCCTACACAAAAGACGGAGAGTACTTATAAGAACATTTCTTTTCATGAGAAAGATGTATCAGAAAATACTTGCTAACATAGAAGCGGCTCAGTCTTAGGGGCTAGTAGCAACAGTGGTCAGCAGTGTGGACACTTCCTTTTACTGTACCCTTATCCATCACTCCGTGAAACACAATGCAGCATACCTGAGGGATGGAGCCATGTTATTTATTCATGGTTACCTTGTGATCCAATCTTTGCATACTAGTATAACTAGAAGATCAAAGCCACTGGTCCCCCAACAGAAAGTGGGGAGGAGTAGTTACCTTGCATAATAAATGAGCAGGGCCATCCTTAAATTTGCAAGGCTGGGGGCACAGGTATGAATGGAGGTTAGTCATGCCCACATGGCCAAGCCCTTGGGAGGGTCCTGGGTTCCTTGTCCTGTGGTGGGGGGCAGGGGGCTTACCCAGCGGACACAGCCAGGCAATGGCTCTGAGGTTATTGGGCTCTGAGCTTGGTGCTGAGGCTTCTGTGATCATTGCAAAGCTTGGGTCCGTATGGGGTGGGGTTTTATAATCTTTATAGACACAGTTTTATAATCTTTATAGACTTGGAAAGGCACCAATTAAAGTTAGCTAGGGGTTGTGCTGGAGTGGGAAGACATAAAACTTTCTTGCATATTAACATAAAATATTAACTCTACTGGGCAGAAACAGATTTGTAAAGTGTGGGCCTGATAGGAAAAACTTTTTTCCCTCCTTATATGGGGTACTGGGGCAGGGGTAAATGTTGAGTTAAGACTAGCTACTGCGTCTGGAGAAGGGTCTCTCCATTATGCAGATATTGGAAAGAGGAGCCTTCTTAGAGAAGGCCTATTTCCAAAGGCACATCTAGTTTCAACTTTAAGGCCTTATATTATGAAAAACAACGCCTATGTTTGTTCGGTCGTTTTCATTCTGTGTGTTGGTTTTCTTTAATTTTCACCAAAATGTCAGTAAAATTTGCAACCCACATGAAGGCCTTTAGAGAGTAGGGCTTGTTCATGTGTAAAACTGAGACACAGGACTCAGTTTCAGGTTTGGCTGATGCTGTGACAGTAGCAATGAGGTAACAGCACCTCAGTGACACAAATGTACAAAGTGACTGGATCGGGTAGGCAAGTGATGAGGAGCAGAGGGACTCTCCCTGTCTTCCTCGCCCTGGGGCCCCTCAAACCACTGGCGGTCATGACACCTCCCAGCGCATGGGAGGGGGCTGTAGTCAGTGCCAGTGACACACAGCACTGGGTTACTCAGAGACTTGGTCTTGAGTAATCAATAAATGCTCTGTTAATACCCCTGGAAACCCCATGGCTTTTATACAGGTAAAAGCAGCTGATTTACACAAAACACAATTAAAGTCATAACTTAAACTGTAAATTAATAAAATAATGGCATTTACTGTGCACACTCACAATTCTTACAAAGTTTTGTACTGTTAGAGGATGAAAATATTTTCCCTCTAAATAAGCCATTATGAAAATGTACTCATGTTATTATAGTTTTATTTTTTAAAAAAAGTACCAGAGGACTTTAAATGTGAGACACATTTCAGATTGGAAGACCTTATTATGGGCTTGGGTTACACATTTTTAGCTTCTCAACTAGTGGGTGTAGACAGTACGAATATCTTAAGCAAAAGAATAAAGAGTTTGGAAGTCAAGAGAGACTCATAACAAAGTACTGGTGGTCTGGAAAATCTGAAAGAATAGGGGCAGATGGCCAGAAAGGATACAATCTGGAGCTCTTCATCCAGCATCATTGTACACTGGGTGTAAAATGTAGCCAAGGTAGGAAATGGAAGGAGAGCAGCAAACAATTCATTATCTCTTCACATACATGAAAAACTGCTTAATCAGATGGCAACAGAAAAAGTAATACCTAAAGAATTACAAACTTATAATAAGATGTAAACACTATATGAGAAACTGACCACTCAACATGTAGACATCAGCCTTTGCATATAAAACATCTCTGAGTAGTGAATTGTGTTAATGTTAGCTATTATTGGACTTACAATACACACACATGTGGCTATGGCATGTACATACAACACACACATAATTGAAATATACAAACAAAGCTAAAGCTTACATACCTACATGAGTAATTATGAAAATATGTGTTTTCTTAAAAAAAAAAAAAGCTTGCTGTGGGGCCTTCCTGGTGGCTCAAGGGGTTAAGTCTCAGCAGTATGAAGCTATCCACAGCCACAAGTTTGATTCGCTGGCCGAGGGTTGGCCCACATGGACCAGCAGACCTTTCTTGTCTCGTCCACTGCTTCCCTTCAGCAGTGTATTTCAGTTCATCCACCTGTTCTGTTCCCCACTGTCTCTGATAAGTCCTCTCACCCTCCCTGTACCTCTGACCTGTACCCCAGTAAAGAAAAATACTGAGTCTGAAAAAGTTATATTATTTTCTCTGACTGCCACCTTTCAAAATGACTTTTCTAAAGCCTCAGGATGTTGAAGTACTGTCTGGTCAGCAAAGTGAAAACTTGCAGGCTTGCCTAGGACAATAGCCATTTACATGGGCCATAGATTCCCAAGCCAAGTGTTATGTTCCACAGTTCCTCATGAAACCCTGCAGGAAGTGGAGGTCAGATGAAAGGGAGAGGATAAACACAACTCCATGTCTGTTACTCAAATAAGTCTGAAAGCTTTATGGCCTCAACACATAGTGGGTCACACGCATCTCTTCATGGAAACTATAGAGAAAAATGGCTCTGTTTTTGATTTCAAGGTTGCACTGGGCACCGGCATCATGTCCTGAAAAACCACAGTGTGTCAGCTGTAAAGTAAAGGTTTGAGTCTGTGGATGAATTCAAGCAAGTCTCTGCATGTGGACACGCTTCTGATAATTTGGTGGGGCAAAAATACATGTTAGTGAGACCCAAGAAACTATCTAATGTTGTGTGAGGCTGGTTAATGACATAAAAATAGGGTTACAGAGAAAGGAAAAAAATGATATGAAGGCCCAACAGAGGGAGAAACAGCACACCCAACATCTCTTTTAAAGGTCAAAAGACTCCATTCCCGTCCTAATCACTACCAGGCTGATATAAGCAAGAAGGGGTACTGTGGCCTTCTGGGATCACACTAGATCATCCTAGATCGTCTAGTGCAGAATCTGGTACAAAGTAACATGCTAATGTGCAGAAAGATCATATACTATAAGAAAAAGAGACTTGTAATGAAGTTTTGATAGTCCCCTTCCATGTTAGCAAAACAATATTTTCTTAACTTTTCTCTATTTCCTTCTTAATTAATTCAAGAGCCTCATGGTGATTGTCATATTTCTGAAATTATTTATCAGCATCATTCAGTTCACTTATGATACTTTTCTGTAATTACATTTGCATATTTTAAGCTAGGATCTCAGCTAATTAGTTCTTCATTAAAAAAAAAAAATCAAGATTCAGGGTACAGGTGAAAAGTATTAGGAAATAATACCCCAGACACATAATTTAAAACAGCTCACTCACAAAAAGAAGTGAGCCTTCCAAAATGGGATCATTTCATAGTGAGATTAGAAACTCTTCCCTGACCCTCCCTGGTGGTGTAACAGTGTTAGGATGCAGCACTGCAAGCTGGCCATAGCCACTTCAGTGCGAGTTTGATCCCCTGCTCCGGTAACCTACATGGCGTGGCAGATCTCTCCTGACCCACCCGCTGCTCCCCTCAGCGATATACTTTTCGATCTGCCCGTTCTGCTCCCTGCTGTGTCTCTGGTGAAGCCTTCACTGCCCCTGCACCTCTGGTTTGTACCCCAGTTCTGTATGAATAAATAAATAAATAAATAAATCAGACAAAAAAAAGAAAAGAAACTCAGGCCCTCCCTGGTGGCGCAATGGATTAAAGGCAGCACTATGAAGCTATGGCAGTCACTGCAGCATGAGTTAGATCCCCAGCCCTGGAGGTGACCCACATGACATGGCAGACCTCTCCTGACCTGTCCACTGCTCCCTTCAGCAATGTTTCATCAATCTGCTTGTTCTGCTCCCCACTCTTTCTCTCCTCCTCTCACCCTCCACACCATACCTCTGGCCTGTACCCCAGTTCTATATGCATAAATAAATAAATTTTCAAAAAAAAAAAAAAAGAAAAAGAAACTCTTCGCTTACCAGCAGAACTCCAAAATGTGTGAGGTGGTTACACAGGCACACTGTTTCACTTGCATCTTCATTTCTTTGTGCACTGCATCCTGTTGTATTCCAAAATCCAGAACCTTTTATAGGGGAAAATCAAGGAACATTGTGAAAATAACAGGTGAGTTCCTTCTCACAGGTGAGTTATAATGGGTGATATTTTGTTTAGGGAACTATGCCTCAGATGCCTCTGCTTTATCATCTAACTATAAACATAATATATGTTGAAAGCTGCCAATACTTAGAATTTAGATTGCTGGGATCTGAGGAGGTTGGCAGTGAGTGGAGAGAGATTATCAATGGTTTTAGACTGGGCTCAACTGGGAGTCTGCAAAAGTTTGTTATAGTTTAATCATTAGCATATTTTAAAATCTACTTCCATAAAAATACAAATGTAATATCCACCAAGGTACAGAGCAATGCATTGTTTTTATCTTGACTCAGTCTATATTTTGGGAGGACATAAAGACAAAGATCTCCTTCCTGACATAAAGACAAAGATCTCCTTCCTTGGAACATGCTATTACATTACGGGCTTATGGGCACTGACAACATATTATACTGATCTGACTTTTAATGGTACTTATGGCATATAAGCACTTCTTACACTTGAAAACTATTTTCAGACTGCAAGGAAGTATCATTTTCAGCTATTAATATATAGCTAGTAAACCAGACTCTTTCCAAACCTATGCAACTAGAAACTGAACAGTAACAGAAAGGTTTCAGCTTTTGACAAGGAGCATCAAGAAAGAGGCTTGGGGCTCTTCCATGAGACACCCCCACACTGACTGGTTTTATTTGGTCACCGGACTCCCATTGGGGTCCTCTGATGGGATTCCTCTGGGTTAGGACATGGCATTTCATGACTTGTCCTTCCCTTCAAAGAGGTCCCCACCTTTCACCCAGTGATTCACCCTTGCATTTTGCCTCTCTCTCGATAGTCAAGTGTCATTCTCCCATAATCTGAAGTCTAGAAGCTGAATTTTAAATTCTGTGTCTCGCATATCAATCTCTGAAGTATCCTAGAAGAAGGCGATCCAAGTATATACATTCAGCCATCTGACAGTAACTATAACAGCACAGGAACAATGCATTACAATGTACAAATTACAATAAAATGCCATTATAAGTCACTAAAGTCAGGGATTGTTTCCCACTGAAAAAATGTCAGATCTTCCTGTATCTTCTCGTCTGCATGAATGAAGTTACAGAAATTAGGCACTACCTCTCCGACTCTAAACCACAGTGGCAGCCCTGGCACGATCACACTTACATGGTGACTCACCGAGGTGGTACGGGGTGGACTGAAAGGAGATGGGGGTGTCTAACAAGGTTTCAAATTCAGTTGTTATTAAGACAGCCAATATTTTAAAACTTACCATTGTTGTTTAGATCCCAGAAGGCACAGATGGTCTGAGGCACTGCCTATATTAACATAACAATAAATATGTGAAACTGTTTAAAATAAATGAAAAGTCATACAATCTGAATATGTGAAAACATTAAGGTTTTCACAAAGAAATAGACTGGCATTAGTCATGCCAATATGACCTGAGAAAGGCAGCCAGAGTAGGGGAATGACACCAAGTAGAAATCAACCGTGACTAACTCCAGAGGGATCCTGTCAGCCATCTATCTGCAGGCTTCAATCCGTGTTTCATTGTAAAGCACAATTCCCTATTAAAGTAATTAAAACTAGGACTCAAACAGATACTACACACTCGAATTCATTGCAGCATTCATAAGAACCAAAGTGCCCATCAACTTATAAATGGATAAGAAAAATGGGGTTCTGTATTTTAATGTATATTAGAATTCTATAGTATTTACAGTGTACATACATAAAAAGTATATATATTATATACATATACATACAACAGAATATTATCCAGACTTAAAAAGAGAGTCTGGCATGAGCTATAACATGGATGAAACTGAAATATGTTAGTAAAATCGACCATTCACAAAAAGACGAATGCCATGTGACTCCACTTACAGGAGGAAATTTCGAGAGAGAGACAGAGAGTAGAAGATGGCTGCTGAGAGGAGAAGATGGGCGCTGGGAGTGGGTGTTCATAATTGTGGTTTAACGGGTACATGTTTTCAGATGGGGGAGATGAAAAACTTCTGGAGATGGATGTGGAAATGGTAGTGGAGCAATGTGTATGCACTCAAAAATGGTTAAACTAGTAATTTTACATTATGTCTATTTTATGACCAAAATCACACTCATTATGGATGCAGTCACTGAAACAATGGGGCCAACAGGTACAACGTTCAGTCTCATAGGGCTCGGTGACAGAGGTGGCTACTTCTTAGAGGACGAACTTTCAAGCCAGCTCACTTCCCTACTGCCTTAATGCCTGTCTAATGATAGGGTGATGACTGGACCATCTATGGGGTCTAGCGAATAAACAGATGAGGGCAAGGGAAATGAAGCAAGACAATAGGTAGACAGACAGACAGCAACCTTGGCAGACATTTAGACAATTATTGATCTGTCAAAGAATGTGCCAACACTCTCCTGTTTCCTTCTGCTTCCAACCAGCAGTAATCTTTGACTTTAAAATACAGTCAAACGTGTAATAGCAGGGCTGTGACATGTATCTGCACCTGGTTTACTTGGCTAAATGTAGTTTCTTCAAAATAACAGCCCTCTTTTCTTGGTTACCATTCTTTTCCTGAGTTCTTGAACTGACTAACTCCCCGCACTATCACCACCACCCCCTCCAGTTGCCACAGTTAACTGTGACATTCAGCCACTACCTGATTAGCTGTTCTCCCCTCCTGGAAACCACACACTCCCTACCCCGCAGCCTTAGTCAGTTACCTCAGTCGTATGAGGGAAAAAGGCATCCAATTCATCAAAGAATCTACTACTATTCCATTGCTCTTTGCATCATCTTTATTTCTTTACCTGAGTTACTGTGTGTTTGATTTTGATTTGAACAGGATCCTTCAGGTGCTGGATGGTCATGTTTCCGATACTGCAAGCCATCACATAACTCCCTAAGGGGTATTTCTTGTTTTTTACATCCTTTAAAGAAAATGAACTGTGTATTAATCAGAAGTATACACTTTTATTTTATTTGGGGGCTCCAAAATAAGCAAACTGTCAGCACTTTTTACACTTAAGATCTTCAATTATAGAACATCCTGTTTATGAGACCAAAATGCTGGCTTTCCTGAAAGGGCTTTGCTATTTCCCTTATTACAATAAACATGTTGAGGGAACATTAGGAGTGAATGTTTAAGGCGCTGTGCAGAAAACTTCATTCTCGATTGCTGTATCTAATGCCCACCCAGTTAACATCTGAAACAATGCAAGCCCAAGAATAATATAAATACATAAACGCTGTGGGAAAAAAAACCCAAAAAAACGAACATCAACTAACAACTATAAACCAGAGACACTCTACAGGGGAGAAGAAAACAAGATCAAAATGGGGGTGGACGCACTGGAACTATGGTGATGGCACATGGGTGAAGTGGGGGTGGGAAGTCCATCGTGATTACAACTGAGATGAAAAAATGTACAAAATGAAGAATAATGTAAAACATGTCTTCATAAAATAGAAAAGCTGTGAAAAAAATAACCCATTTCTCTACCAGAGAACACATGAATTTGTTCTTTAAGAGAAGCACAAAGAAAATGTGGTATGAAAAAAATTTAAAAAGCATTCATCTGTCATATCCATGACAACAGTTCAACTTATAGTTTCTATTTCACAGATCTGGCTCTCAGGAAATCAAATTAGTTCATCCGTGCTGCAAAATGACGGGACCCAAGAAATTGTTCCTCCAGGAACACACTTTCTTTTTCCTGTCATGTTGCTGGTTGAACCTCCTGAATTTATCTATTGCAGCTTATAAATCAGTGGTTTGGGGATATTTGTAGGGTATGTCTACTGGCCAGTAACACTCAGCATCCAGAATATAGCTTTTTAATACTTTAGTATGCTCACTCTCATAAAGTCATCTCTGGCTTGTGGACACCTATATTTTTAATACTCTGTCTTGTTCGTGATATGAAGGAAGGACCATTGAAACTTAAAATTTTCACTTTGCTATAAATCTATTTTGTAAAACAAACATGTATTTCCTAATAATTACTTTGGGAGATGGCAAAGGAGAAGGTAAAGATGATGTGGAGAAGAGGCACAATGAGACGACGATGAAGCCCTTTACCGGAGTGGCCCTATATTCTCCCACTGAGCTCAGCCTTTCCGCTGACTGCACCCCACCCCCACATGCATATTCTGAGACACTGTCTATTTTGCATGGCTTTTAAAGCTGACACTGGAATGCCTCAAATAATAAAAAACACAGTTTTATTTTTTCACCGCCATTAAACCTTTCAGAGTAATGACAAATAATGGCACTCTGAATCTCAGAATTTCTGTATAGTTTGCTTCTATATTCATTATATTATATTTATTAGCTAATAAACATTTCAAGTTGTGGAATTAATTATTGCAAATGATTCCACGGTATTGCTTTTCTTGTCTGTGTTTGTACTCTTATGTTTGTATCTCCTTTCTATGATTGCTGTACTGACTCATGTCTTTTTGGGGAGGGTTAAAGAGATTTGAAATAAAAAATGTTTAGAAATTAAAAAAAAAAAAAAGGCTCTCTGTAGCCTAGAGAGTGTTTCTACTGGCTTTGAGACTTGATATTTTCTTCTACATTAATAACACTGACTGATATAGACAGGTATCTTCAATTTAATAGATAATTTTTTTTTTTAAAGGTTCAGTTGAGGAATTTGGTGATGGCACCTGGGTGAGTTGGTGATGGAAAGTCCAAGGGGATTACAACTGAAGTGGAAAAATGCACAAAATGTTGTAAAAAAAAAAGTTCAGTTGAAAATGCACTGAACTGGTTATGTTTTCAAAGGCAACTAGAGGTCACCAGTGTTTGCTAGCTGTAGACTTTCTAGTATCTAGAAACTATGCCAATAAAAATGATAACATGTGCTCAGCACAATACCACCCTACTTGGGGGATGTATGAAGGCCAAAGGTCATTTAAAACACTAACGAGAAAAATGATTAAAGCCAAGAATGCTGCTCATTATGTAAGCAGTGCTTCCTGCTGAATTGGGAGAGGGGGAAACAACTTTCCATTGGTGTGCAATTTCTTTAACTCTGAAGATCTAAATTGCTAAAGCATATAAAATATTCTAAAAAAGGAGTTAGTCATAATATCTTGGAAAATCCCATTTTTAGTTCTATTATGCAAGTCTTAATATGTTATGTAATTAATTTTAAAAACTTAAATAACACAACTTCTTACTAAGCATAATTATCTGAAATAAATATTTAAACAATTATGTTAACATTTTCCATCTCTGAATGTACAAAAGGTTAAATTTTCCAGACCTCTGGATATGTTTTCATGGCACCTGAAATTCTATTTTTCCCTTTGAGCAAAGAAACTCAGTTTTTAAGTTAAAACTAATAATCAAAGTAACACTTACCTGGAAAAGTCCAGTTTTATTAAAGAAAGTAAACTGTGCTCTTCTAACTGGCATGGATTCTTCTTGACTTAAATTCTCAAAAAGAGTTGGAGGCAAAATTACAGAAGCCAATGGATCCATTTGTCCAATTTCAAAATCCATCTGTCATACAGAGAGATATACTAGTTGAATAATCACAATTAAATTGCCATAATAATTGTATTCAACTTGCTGTTAAGGCAGGACAGCATAGTGTACGTCTCAGTGTATTTAGGACAGGGCTCTTGCCTTTACCTCTTGTAAGGCCATGTCCTCCTGGGTGAACCCCACAGATGGCACAACCTTCCCTATGATGGCAAGGTCCAGATTCATTTTAGTTTTACTAGTTTGATAAGTGAGGAAATAGCACTGATTTTTATCAAGGCACACTGGCAAGTGTATAAATCAGTTAACATTTTCAATATAAGCATGAGATTTATGCTTAATAGATTTTGAAGTTTTCATAGAACACTTCATGAAAAATGATTGTGGCAACAACAAAGGATTTGAATTAACTTGTTTAACTTCTAAGAATAAGTATCTCCACATAAAGGAAACAACTGACTCTTTATGAATGCTCTTGGATATCATTTTTCCTGAACCCATAAATCAGGCCAAAGAGTGTTTTCCTGCAAATGTTCTTGAATGAGGCTGAGGCTGACTGCGTTTTCACTCTTATTCAAAATATTAAACAGAATTACCCCCCCCAAAAAAAGAGAAAAAACAAGCAAAACCCCTAGTCTAAAGCAGAAAAAAGGTTTTCTTCCTTATATACAGATTTTTATTTTATTTCCACAATTAGTACCACTTACCACTTGAGTGTTCTCTCAAGTTAAAGACGATGTGGATAGGGACTAGTACTGTCTAGCACACAGTAGGGACTTAACAATTACTTGATGAATGTTACTTGAACACCTCTGACTTGAATCTAGGCCCACCTTTTCTGTCCAAACTCACTTTCTCCTGTTAACTTTTGATATCACTGGTTCTCAAAACACACCAGAAGATTTAACAATACCTGGGAACTTGTTCAATGTGTAAATTAGGTCCACTCAAGACATACTAAATAACTGTCTTTGTAGATGGGACCCAGCAACATGGTTTGACAAGCCCTCCAGGTGATTAAAATCCATAGAATCACTGGCAAAGAATATACACCAAGCTTCTTTTCCACCTTTTACTGGAGATCTTTCTCTGACCAAACTTACCCCATACCCCTACTCTTAACAAGGTGGCCCTTATTCATGCTCTAATAGTTAGCTCCATTACCTTTTAGCAGGTAATTTCTATCACCCAGGTTCTGAAAGCATTCCCTCTCTAGACATCGCCATTACTTAAGGTCATTGCTACTATACATCTTAGCTAACCTTCAGACCTGTCTGCCAACCTGAACCAAGATCTCCTTGAAGTAGCAAAAGGTAGGTGATGAGAAAAATCTTATTTGTGTATTTAAATACAAATTAAAGAAACCCTGACTGATTACCTGGAAATATGCCTCATTATTGCTTGGAAGACCGATGCTAAAATTTAAAATTTCATTTGTTTCTGTGGATAGGGATGACACTCCAAGAGCCAAATTGCAAGTTGAAATATTCACACGTGTTGTATTTCTTAAGTCTATCTTGAAGGCCAATGCATCGATTGTTTTCAAAGCTCTAAAGAAATGACAATCATACACACATGATTTGCTACAGGGCAAAGTATAAGTGAAATAAAACTTTTAACTTATTTAATCAGAGTATGAATGCCCCAAAATAACTTCAGACTACAATAATATTGCTTAAAACATAGAATCACAGTACAGATGCAACCTCAAGTGAACATATACTTAAAGGAAAATAAACAATTTAATCATCCTTACAAATACCTATTTTGGCATTTTGTTCTTCACCTGAAAAATTCTCTTTCCCTACTTTGTAACTGACCAGTAACAGAGGAAATAATGTGACAAAGTAAACTATGAGACACTGAAAAAGAAAATGCTTGTAATTATTTTGTCGATAAGGCAAATAGAGAAGACATTTTAACAAATATAAAATCTTCACCTAAGAAAGGAAGACACTTGAAAAAATATATATAAATATTATAATACACCAAGGAAAATCACTGGCTACAAATGGAACTCACAAAAGTAGGTACATTTTAACCTGAAACAACTTAATTTCACAAGATACTGTGACCAAATTATGCCTAAAAGATGTAAATTGAATGATTGCTATCTCCTTTGCAAACAAAGTGTCATAAATGAATATTTGTGATAATTTGTTCATCTTCGGAATTAATCCCATTAATGTATTCAGTTAAAATGCAAAACTAGTGATGCTTATATGAAACTCTTTACATTCTACTTAGATAACAACTGTAATCATTTTGCAAATTACATTTCTTAAAAAAGAAAGAACTTTCAAGTTCATTTTATGAGTGACCTAGGGAAATATCAGCAAATATTTTAGAGATTTGAACTATAAAGTCTCAGCACCAAGCAATCAAATATGTTAAAAAAAATTATATAACACTATATTTAACTAATAAATTTTATTCTCCAAAAGGAAAAACAAAAAACAAAAAACTTACTCAGAAGAGGATGCCAACAAGTCACTATCTGGACTGGTTAAGATATTGGAAAAAATATTCATTAAGGTTGAGCCAAGGGTGATGTCGATGTTTTCTTCATTATTCACGAGCTCTTTGACCTGTTTTACAATGTTGCTGATATTGGCCGAGTTCAAGTTCTGTGCATCATTGGTTAAATTTAAGATCTCATTGGCAATATCATTTGCTCCTAAAAAAAGCAGAAGAAACAACATACAATGCTTTCCCTGTGCATTCTGAGCATTTCTGGGGAGCTAAATCACTAGGATATTTTTTTCAGTGTATCATTAAAGCAGCAAATTGTGTTTCCCTGGAGGACACCCTTAACAAAATCTTAGCTCACAGAGAATATCATCTCATTTCAGAGAAACTTAGGTCAATAAGAGGGAGGTCCCAATTACCACATGTGGTTCTCTAATAGTTATGGCCCCCAGAATCACTGAATTTGTGTGTATTTGCTGCTTGAAATGTAACACAAAACTACAAAATAATTTCTATCAATATCAACTGATGCATTATTATTAAGTCTTCTTTAAAACTTTTTTTACTTTTTAATCTCCTTCAGGATGACAGAACAAAACATCAGAATGAGGGAAAAAGGTATTTTCTGTCTTACATGAAATGATCATTTGCCTAGTCTTAAATATTCTAACAGTATCACAGAGCATGAGGTCATTTCATTTTTTCTTGAGAGAATGAAAAAAAAATCACTTACTCATACAATCAGAGAGATCAGGAGGTTTCCAATAGGCATAAGTTGAGTTGTACCTGACACTTTGAATCAAAAAAGGTAGTTCAGGTTATGCCATATGTGACAACATAACAGAAAAATAGTTAATGATAAGCTTTAAACTTTGCCTTGATATGGAGGTAAGTTTCATTTAACAATAAGACTGTAATACTATGCAATGAAACATATGAAAATTCTTACTGGCAAAACTCAAGTGCATGTATCATAAAAACAAAATACAAGTCATCTGTCATCTTTCCTCACCAAGGATACATTGGCCTAATACAATTAAAGGCATATTTCGTATAATTGGGCAAGTATCACTTTAAAAACCTTCCACACAAAATCTGATTTTGATTTCATATCACTCCATAAAGAAGACTCTAGTTCTCTGTATGAGAGGAAATAAACTTAGGTAAGTCAAAGAATTTTCCAAGTCTTTGCAGACAGAAAAATGTATACCCACATTTCCCACTCAAGTCACTAGGTCTCTAAAATCCCCTTCTTTTTTCCTAACCACAGATCAGGTACAGAACTTTCCTGCTTGAGCAGTTTCAGGTTGTGAATTAGCTCCAAGAAAATTATAACTAAAGGGTAGGGTAGACAGCACTGCACTTGAGTTCTTTTGGGTGAATTCTCTGCAACTGACATGCCTCTGAGCTTTCTGTTAACATTTAGCAAAAACCCACACCCTGACAGTCTAAAATGGCCGACTTCCTACTTGCATCCTATTTTTATTACCTGTGTCAATAAACCCCATTCCAACAAGGCCCTGAATAATGGCATTTGAGGTGCACATGCCAAGTCTGTGCAGTCATTAACCACTCAGACATTAGGTGCTCCAGACTCAGCTTCTGGTTTCCAAATGTCTCCAGCTTTGAAAATCAATTCGATTAGTATCTGCTTGCAGTAAAAAGGCTGTTCTTGGTTCCCTAGCTGCCTTGGCTTCTCCTGACCACCCCCACTCCACCCCCGCACCAGAATGTATGAGTTAGAGGTGCCCAGAGACCCTGCCCATCACTTGGTCACCCTCCAGGGTGTGGGGGTATCTGCAGCATGTGCTGGCCTGGGAAGGTGGACAGCACAGAGCTCTTCTGGCAAGAATCAAAGACAGCATTACCACTCCCGGACTGCCATGCCTCCGTTCTTCCCTTGACACGGCAGTGTGAACTTAGTGGGTGAGACGGGCGGCCACTCATAGCCTTTGGGTAACTCCTCAAAGGGACACACACCTAAGTGGAAAATAAGGGTCCCATGAGAAACAGTCATCTATTTTTGAAGCAACAAAATTGGCATGGTATCAATTTTCTGTAATACTAAAATCCTAGTTTTTTTTTTATGGTCAGAATTTGTAAACATTTAGGAAATTATATTTAAAATATTTCAGGCCCTCCCTGTTGGCGCAGCAGGTTAAAGCACAACACTGACAAGCTAAAGCCACTTCCACATGAGTTCGATTCCCGCCTGCCACGGAGGTGAACGCATGGCACAGCAGACCTCTCCTGACCCGCCCGCTGCTCCCCTCAGCAGTGTGCTTTGTCGATCTGCCTGTTCTGCTCCAAACTCTGTCTCTGGTGAAGCCTCTCACTACCCCCTGCACCTCTGACTTGTAGCCCAGTTCTATATGAACAAATAAATAAATCTTTTTAAAAAATTTTTTTAAAAAGAAAAAAAGTTTAGATCAAGGCTAACCCCAAGATACCTGGCCTAACCCTGAAAAGACAGTGGTATCATTATAAGAGACAGAAAACACAATAGAAGATATAGCTTACTAGAGCACTCTTAAACAGACTCTCTTCTGGGGTCAAGGTTATCTTGGTATTTGGCTCAGATTCTAAGCATGTTCATAAAGTATCCCTAATTAATATGATGAACTCTCACTTTCCACTTTCACTCCTAGATCTATATCACTATGTGATGTCTTTTGCCCTTACCATGTCTCCCATTTGTTACAATGTCACCACCATTGTGATGATAGTCACGATTCGGAAAAAGTACCTTTAAATTGGTAAGCCACATACAAAGAATGTTTTTGTTGTTGTTTCAATTAAACTTTGCTATACAGTTTATATAATAAAAATATTAAAGGCGCTTACCCTGTCGTCTTACGTTTACTGTAGACAGCCTCAAGCTTTCACCCAGGGACTCATTATTCTCTAAGATCTTCTGCTGAATGATTTTTCCTTCTAAGTTGGGATTGCTGGTAGCATCATAAACTACAAGAGCCGAAATTGTTAGCCTAGGAAAACATTTTAGATAGAGCTGTTATTGGGGCTGTCAGCTGGTTGGTGATTTTTTTTTGGGGGGGTGGATGGGGTAGAAAAAACCCATCATGTTTTGATGTGGTTTTAAGGAAACCAAAAAGATTGACACTGAAGAAACAGACCAAGGTCCTATCACTGATATCTGTTGCTACATAGATTGTAACACTAAAAATATCTTAAAAGGAATAATTTTATAGAATATAGTATGTGTATGGGCCCTCCCAGTTTAAAGTGCAGCACTGCGAACCTATGCACAGCAGCTTCATCTTGAGTTAAATCCTTGGCCCCAGAGGTGGCCAATATGGAGCGGTAGACCTCTCCTGTCTTGCCCACTGCTCCCCTCAGCAGTGTAATTTGTCATGCCAGTTCTGCTCCCCACTCTGTCTCTGGTGATTCCTCTCATCACCCCTGCACCTCTGGCCTGTACCCCAGTTCTATATGGATAAATAAATAAATATTTTAAAAATATATGTATAGTAACATGCTTCTGTCACATTTTGGATCACTCCATTTCTTTTGAAAAAAATTTAAATACAGTGGAGGACATGCAAAAAATTTAAATAACATTTCAAGAACAGCTCATACTTGTAGTTAATTCTACATTGTTCTTTTTAGCCTCAAATAAACTTTCAGAAGTTCAATTTCAACTATGTTGATGAAAAAAAATTCCTTTATTTTTGAAATTATTAAGGTGGTATTATTTGAAAATGTCTTACACAGTTTCTCCAGAATGGTGATAAATGACTTTCCATCTTCTTTATGAAGCATTTGCAAGTACTTTATATGGTGAAAGTTATAAAGTCAGCACTCAAAAAAACTGTACTTGGTGAATGGCCAGCAATTTACTAAGATATTTTTATTGAGTGCCTCACCCTGAATGTCTTTAAAAATATATCTCTAAGGGAAGTAGAGATAAATCCTAGAAGGTCCACCAAAGCTTTTTGGTTCCATAATTTGAATTAGTAATACTTTTTGTTATGATCATAGGTAGAGTCAGTAGCAAAAATCAAAATTAGTAATCAAAATTAAATAGTCTGTCATGTAAATGAAGAATTTTTTCTCTCTTATTATGAAAGCACTGGTTTTACAATAAAACTTTCATATCTTCTTCCTATTCTGAAAATAAATATTATGATATAAAATTGAGCGAGGGTCATGTCATAGAATTATATTACCAATATTAGTTACTACATACATGGCAAAGTCCAAACAGTAGCATTATTTTTGAAAAGACTATGGAGTGTTCAGTGGAGAGACAGTGGCACAGTTATTAAATTCTATGTGTATACTGTTGAATTCTTTGTATATCTTTGTGATCAGTCCTTCATTATTAGTATTGTGTGCAAAAATTTTCTCCCAATCATTGGGTGTGGTTTTGTTTTATGTAATGGCTCTTTTGCTGTACATAAGCTCTTTAATTTCATGTAGTCCCAGATGTTTATCATTTCCTTCATTAACCTTGCTTTGGTTGATGTATCTTTAAAGATGTTACAAGGTGAATGTCATGGAGTGTTTCACCAATATTTTCTTCAATATATAAAGTGAACAACCCCATCAAAAAATGGGCAGAAGAGCTAAAAAGACACTTCTCCAAAGAGGAAATACAGATGGCCAACAGGCATATGAAAAAATATTCAGCATCACTTTCAATAAATCAACTGCAAATAAAACCACAATGAGATACCATCTCACACAACAACAAATGTTGGCGAGGATGTGGAGAAAAGGAAACTCTCCTGCACTGCTGGTGGGAATACAAACTGTTCCAACCACTGTGGAAAGCTGTTTGGAGGTTTCTTACATTGCTAAAAATGGAGCTTCTAATGACCCAGCAATTCCACTCCTAGGTATCTACCCAAAGGACACAAAAACATTAATTCAAAAGACATTTGTGCCCCTACGTTTACTGCTGCACTACTTACAATATGGAAGATGTACAATCAACCCAAATGCTCAAAAGTAGATGACTGGATCAAGGAGATGTAATACTTATACACAATGGAATAGTACTCAACAATCAAACATGCCATTTACAGCAATGTGAATGGAGCTGGATGGGATCATGGTTAGTGAAATAAGCCAGAAAGGAAAAGAAAAAGACTAGATGGTTTCACTCATGGCAGGAACATAAGGGATGAGGGGGTAAAAATGTAATTGTAATAAAGTAAAAACAAAAATCAACTAACAACGATAAATCAGAGACATTCTAAGAGGGGGAGAGGGGAACAGGATCAAAACAGGTGCAATACATGGGAGGTAGTTTGAAGTCCATGAGGATTACAACTGAGATGGAAAAAAGTGTACACAGTAAAGAAAGATGTAAATGTATATGTACATAATAAATTAAAAAAATAACTTTTATGTGTATAAATGAAAATGAAGTAGAGTCTTAAATACCTGTGGTGATAAAAAGAATAAGTGAAATGTTTGCTCCATGGTCAGATGAAACTGAAGAATAGTTCTATTTTTCCCTAAATATCCTGCTAATTTCAAGGATAAAGTGCTATACTATTCTCATAATCCACTCAGCAAAGCTGTTTATATCCAAAATGATTTACCGCTTAGCGTTCATATATAAGCTATATTTCAGGATAAGACTTATGTGAATACAATAAGGAGCTGTGCCATCTTAACAATTTTTTAGAATGACCTATGAAAAAGTACTCCTTGATTAAATGATTGCTGGGGCATTAGCTTTGCCACGCCCACTACTGACAACTTTAAACTGGGAACGTATAACCTTTTTACTTATCTTGACTATTGAGAAGGTACATAGCATAATGTATTTTGAGTGAAAATGAATATCCTAATTCAGCAATGGGAGAATGGTCATGTCTTATTTATGTCGTTTTCCTCTTTCATCCAGTAAACTGAAACTATTGTATGATCCTACAAAGTCAAGTTCTATCTGTTTTTGCCATCAATTATTCTCTACTCAAATAAGCCAGTCTCTGGCTTTGGTTTCCTGTCTGTCCAGGCGATAAGAGTATGATAGCCTTATTTGAAGCTGTGGTCTATGAAGTGTCACAATCAAATTGAAAGAAAAAGTTTGGGGGGGAAATGTGTGTGAAACTCGGTAGATTATGGCTTTGAGAAAAATTATGGGTGGCAAAGGCTTATCATTGAACATGAAAGAGAAAGTAGAAAAATGGAGTGGAAAAATCCTCTAGGCATTTTTAAACAATGTAAACATTTTTTAAACAATGCAGTAGTTCATATCCAAGAAAAAAAATATGAATTTCCCCTATATATTATTTGTTTCCATCCTCCCTACAACTTGCAAATCTTGGAAGTTACATATTGGTTTGACAGACAGATAACTGAGATTCCATAAATTTAAATGACGTTCGAGCAAGAGTTTCTGAGGTGTTGGTTTCATTATTGTCAGGCATTAGAGGAATCACAGTCCACAAACTGAAAATGGCAATGCTTCAGAAAATTACTGGTGACTTTGAATGATGAAAACATATCCCATTTCAGCCCTCCTTTGTAGCACAACAGGGTAAAACACAGTACAATGAAGCTATACAAATCCACTGCAGCACAAGTGTGATCCCTGGCCAGGGAGCTGACCCACATGACACAGCAGACCTCTCCTGTCCCACCCACTGCTCCCATCAGCAGGGTTTTTCAGTGCATCTGCCTTTTCTGCTCCCCACTCTGTCTCTGGTGACTCCTCTCACTCCTACATCTCTGCATCTCTGGATTGTTCTCCAGTGGTTGTATGCATAAATAAGTAAATCTTAAAAAAAAAAAGAAAATATATCCCATTTCACTAGATACTACTATTAATATATAAACATTACTCTCTCTCTCTCTCTCTCTCTCTCTCTCTCTCTCTCTCTATATATATATATATATATATATACACACACACACACATACACTATATAGAGGTTCCTTTCTTAATACAATTATCTTTTTTTTTCCTCTGAGGGTCTTTTTGAAACTCAAATAAGAGCTAAAGGATTAGCATTTAAAAAAAGAACTAGAAATAGTGTATATTATTCATTTATTTTAAAGATCCTACTTCTGAATTATCTATATCACAGGCACATTTCCACACAGTCTGCTGAACTACAAGAAAAAAAATGTGCACTGGAAGTAATAATTTAAACCTGTTCCTTTATTAAACTGTTTCTCTCCTATTATTTTTCTCTACTAGACAGTCAAAACAGATAGCAACTGAAAAGATGTTACACTGTACATTTGTCAGTGTTACCTTAGGTCATTGCCAATGCTCCTCTTGACTTTGATCTTGTCCTCTCCTGTGTTCACATGAAAGCTATAACAAGAAATATGCATATTTATTACCAACTTCATCTATTCCATCATCAACAACAAAATTTCAGGAAAGGCAGAAAGCACATTCTAAGCCAACATTTCCAGATGTGTGTCCTGAGGTCTAGTTTTTCCAGATGCCCATGTGAAAATGGCCCCATGGCCAAGGTAGCAACTGTGTCCCCTGCTCTCTTTTCAGTGTTAGTGTATGAAGGACCTATGATTGCCTGATATTAGAAACCTGCTTCTGCTTATTTAATAATGTACACCCTGAACTAATGTGGCCATCTGATCCCCATTTCTGTGTTATTAGATCTCTTGGGTTCACACAGTATATGTTTTAGATTCATAAAATACATATTAAGAAACCTGTTTTAAGTATAGAACTATGAATACAAGGGACAGAGAAGGAAAAGAAGATATTACTATTTGCTAGGGGCTCCATGGAAGATTTAACTACAATAACAGTGAAGATAGTTTTGAAAAACTAGGTTGCAATCAGACTATGGATGTCTTATCTTATAGAAAAATGATCTGTAAAGTGGGGTACACATAATCCAGGAAGTGTTCTAGATAATTCACTGGGATATGAGGAGAAAGTAACGATTTATATTTAATTAGTCTTTTAATTTGTGATGTATCATAATACATAATAGGTAGGAGAATCAATACATATCTTCATACACATACATACACACACACACATACATACACTATTTAAAATCACAAATATATTTTAGGAAGGCATGCTTACTTTGAAAAATGATCAGGATCCAAAATCCAAAGATATTAAAAATCATTGCTGAGGCACTGAATTTTTTTGTGCAAAGAAATAAACCAGTACAGTTGTTTTAGATTTATTATGAACATAAGGTATGTGCTTATATGTTTACTTTTGTAAATGTGCGTGCAGGTACAAACAGAGAGAAGGAGGGTAGCATTCAGTTAGACTTTTATTTCCCAAATAATTTATTCTTTCATTTACCTGATATTAACCACATAAACAGTGTAGTTCCAATTTTGTAAAGTTGAATTGAGCTAAAAAATACAATGGAAAAGGATGAGTGTTGGTAATAAATACCTTTTTAAAATTTTGAATCAAGTTTCTTCCCTCCCCAAAGATGTTATCGGAATCATACCCTGGGAAAATCCCAGAGAGTTAGAGTGAAAGAAAGGTACAGATAACAGTTACTGAATCACTGTATGCCAAGACCTTTACAAATGTTATTTGTTTCAATCTCACAATCACTATCAAGATAGGTACTATGTGCACCAACCACCCCTTACATATAAGGAAACTGAACTTAAACAAAATGAAATAACTTGCTGAAGTTCATCTAATATGCAGTTATATCCCAGACTGGAACCCAGGTCTGTCTACCTGGACACTACATTTTCCTCTCTATCAACATGTCACTTATGGGGCATATGAATTAGTCACTGCGAACTTTGTTGTAATAGGGCACATGGTGAAGAACATAACACCTTTCATATTCTTCATTCAGTAAACACTGAGCTACAGTATCACATTTTCCAGTAATTATCATCTCAAGAACTCTAGTAAGAAAAATAGTAATTAACTGTTGATACCTCAGAAATATAAAATACATCACAAAACAAGATTTTGCTACAGACACAAAATTCTTACTTCCTTATCACCTCCAAAGGATTTTCATGCTTTTTTTTATATGCAGCTAGACTTCCTTGAAAGCATTTCTAAAACTGACTGTAAACTAGGAAACTGTGGCAAAAATACTAAATTATTTTAAAATTATAAATAATTATAGTAATCAAGGATACCACTTACATTTTCTTTCTCATCAAGAGATTTTCTTGAAGGTCAACTAAGAGTTTCCAATAAAGTTTAGTTTCAGATAATAACGTTACCTTGAAAACCACATGTGATATAAGAACAATTGTAAAATGATACCTTGTTTAAAGGACTCTTCAGTGTATGTTAATTTTTCAGGGTTAATCACATTAGTACTTTATTTGAGAACGAAAATAAAGAAATTCATCTTTTGAAAACAACCTGACTTAAAAAAAAAAAATCCTGGGATTCAATAAAAGTCTTTACCAAAAAGAAACTGACCAGCAAAAATATATATATTCTTTCTGTAAAGTAAGCTCTAAAACACATTGTTCTAGTGTTTACATAAGGTATTGAAAGTTACTGTGTTGTTCCACAAATTAAAAATATTTTCTGGCCCTCCCTGGTGGCGCAGTGGGTTGAAGCACAGCACTGAGAATCTAGAGCCGCTTCCGCACGAGTTCGACTCCCGCCTGCCTCGGAGGTGACCACATGGCGTGGCGGACCTCTCCTGACCCGCCCGCTGCTCCCCTCAGTAGTGTGTTTCATCAGTCTGCCTGTTCTGCTCCCCACTCTGTCTCTGGTGGGGCCTCTCGCCGCCCCTGAGCCTCTGGCCTGTACCCCAGTTCTGTATGCACAAATAAATAAATCTTTAAAAAAAAAGAAAGAAACAGACTTTGACTTTAAAAAAAAAAATTTCTGTGACATCTACTAAAGAATCTCACTTTTCCCCAATTATGTTACAGTTGTTTACAAACTAATGTTCCATGGAAATTTATGTTAAAAGGCCTTGCCTTTAAAAATAATACTCTGTGGCCCTCCTTGGTGGCACAGTGGGTTAGGACACAGCCCTGCTGGCCAGCCACAGCTGCTTCAGTGCGAATTAGCTCCCTGCCCTGGAGGTGACCACATGATGCAACAGACCTCTCCTGTCTTGCCCACTGCTCCCCTCAGCAGTGTACTTTATTGATCTGCCTGTTCTGCTCCCCACTTTATCTCTGGTGAAGCCTCTTACTATCCCTGCACCTCTGGTTTGTATCCCAGTTCTGTATGAATAAATAAATAAACCTTTAAAAAATAATAATGCTATGTATTCCAATTACTCTTAAAATATGTCTTATCAATTAACTCTCAATGTATGGTTTAGTGATTTAGCTTTCTTAATCACCAAGGGCACATTTCTTAGATACCAACAATATAAGAAAACCTATTTTGTCTTACTTTAGGATGTATACTCAAGTAACTTTATCACAAAAGTTGTTTGTAATAGTATTAGAAGTAAAAAGTAATTCAAGTCTCCTTAGTATTCTGCAGATAGGAAGTAAAACAATAGGAAATAAAATAAGAAACTTACAATGAAAAATTTTAAATAATAATGAAGAAGAAAAATTTTAAAAATCTAAAGGGTATATTTGCAAGAAGAGAAAAATGTAAAATTTTAATGTTAGAAGTTACCAAATTTTCATCGGAAAACCTCACATGTCATCTACTCATAGATTTATAATGACCATTCTCTGTTTCAGCATCATCTGTAGATTTAGTTACCCAGATAGTAAACATCTTTCCCAGATTTGCAGAGGTTAAAGATTTAAATCCAAAAGAGAAATTTTGCAAGTTCACTTACCCATCCTACCACCTTGTTCTGCACTTTTGCTTCAGGATAATGGAGGATATTTTCAATCTCTAAGGAAATTCTAAAGACAATTCCATCTGTCCATTGGAAATAGGATTTAGTCCATTAGTTCTATTTGGCAGTCATATAATTGTCAACTTAAATTTAAAATGATACAACTTCACACAATTAAAAAGAGTCACTTTTTATGTAGGTACAAAAAATTTTCTGAAATATTTTTGACTTTATGCTTCTTGACCTTTATCTTATACATAATTAACAGCCTTTAAGGTATCAGCAACATGTTTCTTCTTCTTTTTTTTTTTTTTTTTTTTTGGTGCATGGCTCCCAGAAGTACTACAATACCAGGTTGATGTGTGGAGTGGACGGAGCAAGCTCCTATTCCATCGCCTAGTTCCAAAAATCCATTTAATATATTGTCCTTGGATAGAGGGCGTACCAGATATTAAACTGATAAAAACAGATACTACACTTGATCTTAGGCAAAATGCTGAGAAGCGATGTTTGTTTCTTCATATTTTAAAATCAATTTTGTTAATTAAAATAACAGTTCATTGTAATGTTTTATATATTTCAGGTAGGCATCATTCTAAGTCAATATCTGTATGTTATATTAAGTTCATCAATCTATAGGAGTGAACCTTGATTTCTGCTATTTACAGTATGTAAAGTGTGTTTTTCCATGTATAATTTTACTACCTATAACAAGATTTCCTTTTCTTGAAATATGTTAGTCTATGTGTAAAAACTTGGGTGAGATGAAGGTAAGAGTCAACTTAAAAACAAGAACAGAAAGACGCATATTTACTAACCCATACCCCTTTTTCCCCCTTTCCTATCCGCCCCTTCAACCAAAAAAAGCATATACTTCTACTGAGCTGTAGCACTGGATTTTTAATAGGGTTTTTAATCAAAATACTATAAACATCACCACTTGTGTCAAAGTAGAGGGGGGGAAAAATTGTCTGCAGAAAGAATTTTAATGGACTAATTTGCTTTGAAAAACAAAACTTTAATGTGAAAAGAAGTTCCTGTGGGGTTTTGGGGGGACAGGTGGGAGACTTCAATCTTTAAAACTTTAAAAAATAGCATACCTTTTTAAAATGAAAAATCTAACTCAGCAGGCCAGGGTTTGCTAAATCTTTCTAGATGTGTGCTATAGGCTGCCTTAGAAAAATGGTTAATTAGGAAAATACCCTTAAATGTAGTAGGTTACAGAGAAGGGGGAAAATGAACCTCCATTATTGTCAATCCTCTTTTTTCATGCTTATTTATGTTTTGGGAATTCTTAAGTAAAATACCCAAAGAAACTGTCCATAATATTTAAAAAATGATGGGGAAGAGCTTTAAGGAAGATTTGGGAGAAGTAGTAGAAAAGATTATAAAATATGCCTCTGGGAATTCCCAAATCTACCAAAATTAAATTCCAGTTACGGTCCTTGAGGAATGCTTTTGTAGTACAGGGGTCAATCCATCATGTTAAAAAAAAATTGCCCCTCTTAGATGTAATAATATAAATACATGACATTGGTTCAGAGACAAGAACAGGTGAGTTTAATTTATGCAGACAAAATAAGTTCATCTTCTAAAACCTTTCAGGTACTTTAGTGAGATTTTATGTTTCTTTAAATATAGACTAAGTGAATATTTAGAGGAATATATTTATAAAAAACTATGATAATTCAGGTAATTCTTTTCCACAGTAGATATCATCATATCAAATAATGTTCATTTTTGAATGGTCAAGAGGAAATTCAAATTGCAGAGGTCCAAGATTCTATGTATTTCAAGACCCTAGGAAATGTTCCCTGGTGTCAGGAGAGTACTAAAAAGCTACCACTAGGTGGAGACCAAAAGCCTGTGTTTGTTCTATCAGTAAATCACTGCAAAATACTAGAAGTGAGTATTTTTAATCAGACATATCTCAAATTTTATGGAAGCATCTAAACACGACATTTTCTTTAGTTTTCAGTATTCACTACCTTATTTTTTTCACTTCATTGATTTCATAAATAAAAAGATGCCCGATCAGAGAACTTAAATCAACTTAAAAATATACTATCCAGAATTATGTTTTTGAATCATTGTCAGAGAAGCCTCAGAATGAGGCATTTCTAAAAGGACAGTGGCATATACTTATGGCTGTATCCCTGCTCATCCTACACACACACTTTCTTTAAGATTCTAAAATTTGATTGGTTGCTGGATCTATACACCTAACCTGAAAATGAATATTTCATGTGAGTAGCTATACATAAGTGAGAAGTTATAAACAGGGTCACGATTTGTACTTGGAAGCTTGTAATAAGGACTAGTGGACTTAGTTCCTTACTTGGGTTGTTTGTACTGAGCTCACAAAACTTGAATAGTCTGCAGCACTAGAGGGATGTTACAAGCACAGAAGACAGGATATGGATGGAGCTAACTAGTCCAAAGGGATGAGAATGTAATACAACAGCCCAAAGGTGATTTGTGGAAAGACCTAAATTATTCATTAGGTCCTGAAATAACTGTGAAAAGGAGCCTGAAAGACAATATTAGATCTGAGACATCAGACAAAAGTTCTAACAAAATAATCAAAGAACTTTACCTAGAAAAATAGGGACATTTCACTAAATTTGGGAAAGCACATTTTATCAATAGATTAAAGAAATATGCCTGACTGTCAAATAATCTCAAGCCCTCTCTCTTCCTGGTACTAGCATATCAAGCTGATAAACTCTACAAAGCTCTTTGATAGCCAGGAGTTCACAGGTCTGGGTAAGGTAGACAAGAGATTTCACAGTTGGTGCCTATCTTTCTTACAGTGGACAAAACAGCATTCTCTAATGTATCAGCTCATAAGCCTGAGAATGTTCACTGTATCGGTTTCCCAGGGAATAAGAAAAGTGTCATGGTCAGTATCTGAGATTGCTCATATTATGTGAAAAATCTTAGATAGTCCAGGACATGACATAAAGCCACATTTATTCACCAGGTGAATAAGCAATTCTTTGCAATAATTTCAAATGTGACTCCATCGAAGAAAAGTATCTGTAATCCAACACATCTGAGAGGAGAAATCAAATTAACAATGATGTAAGAAAATAAATACATTAACCGAGTGAATAAATAAATGGCTCCACATAGAAAAATAGAAATTAAATTTAAAGATCTGAACTGGGCTATAGGCTAAGGGTGTCCTGAACACTTTATTATACTACTTTTCTAAAAATATAATAAAGGGTTGAGGTGCTGAGATGCATGAAGATTGTGGGACACAGAAAAAATTCAGTAATACTGTTTTCATTTATTTATTTTCACTTCTATTTTAAAGCAAGTAGTACTGTTTTTCCTTTGGAACATAAAATATCCATTTTCTCCAATGTTTAAGCCAAACAATGAATCAATTTAGGACAAAACTATGAAATAGTATTGGTAGTGAAAGGATGTGGTTAAAAACTATTTGGCTGGGATATAAAATTGAGTACACAGTTTTTTAAACTATCAACTACATGATGCTTATTGGATATTTTTAAATGCTGGAATTACACTTTTTAATCAAGAATCATCTGAAAGAGATTTTCTTCTTTAACGGAGCAAAATCCAGTCATTTAAGTGATTCTAACATGTGCTTGCTTTGTTGAAACTCCAGTGAAGGTCATGACGCAGGGGGAGCTGGTCTGAACAAGGCTCTCTTCAAGAATGTCAGAAATGACATGATTGAGCAGACAGTTCTACTCCACCAAGTCAAGGACTCTGAAGCATCATGTAAACGTTCTTAGGCAGTAGAGGATGTGCCAGTCCTGAAGGGAGAAAGCCACAGAGGCCCTTTGTATATTCACACAAAGAGCAAAATACTTAGTGAGAATTGTAATATTCCCATCTGCTGGCTGGCATCCATGTGAAATATTCACTGGAAACTTCAGCGGCTGTTGCTTTCTTGGGGTTTCTGGAAGTTTTGTTCCTTCATAAATCTCCTTGGTGTAACTACAGAATAACCATAAACACTTTCCTGAATGGATGTCTTTATAACCCTAATGAAACTTATATCTACGCTTCATGTAAAATATTCCTTACTTCCAATTTGCATGTTCTTACAGAGGAAGTTAATGTAAGCCTTGAAACTCAAAGAAGAAAAGGAAGTATAGCTGTATATGGGTTTCTGTTCTCTTGGTTTTGGGTCTTTGGTGATGTTACAGATGTCTTAGCCTCAAAAGCTTTATGATTGGAGCTGCAAAAATTCCTTTGCTTCTAATACTTCATATTTGAGACTATTACTATATTTCACGCAATGATGTGGTAGGTCATCGGATTGCATTTTGTTTTATTGGAAGAAACTGAACAAACTCCAGATTACCAAAAGGCTATATGTCTGGTCCTACAGTAGCAGGTTAAGAAGTAATACAATTCACCTGGAATTTTCCCTGCTGTATTTGCAAATTACAAATAATATAAATAGAAAATTAAATATGGGGAAAAAAGCAAAAAGTAGCAATTACTTGAGGTTTTGTCAGTGGAAAGTTGATTTACAAATTAGCTGATATATAATAACATTCTAACTATTATTTTCAACGTCTAAAAACAGAGCAAAATATTAATTTAAATATCACAAATATTAGAACACAGAATTGACTTCAGTGAGAAATTAAATTACTAAAATTACTCAGTTTTTTTGAAGAGAATAATCTGACAAAATACCATTAGTAATGTTTTTCTCAGATTGCTTATATAATCAATTATTCCTTTTAATTAAATGTGTTTGTTTTCTTTCCCTAACAGTTTTGTTTGAAAATGTTGGCTAATAGCATAAAAGAACAGTACTGGGAATGTATATTCCACTGATTACAAGAGAAATGAGTGATATTTATTTACCAATAAATACTGCAAATGAACAAATGTACCAACTGATTCCAATAATAGGAACTCTGCTGGAACATTATATACCCCCACCCTGAGAATACAATTTTTCATACTTTGGGTTGTAAAATACATATGTCATGAGGATGGAATGGCCAGCATGGTGGCTATAGTTAATAATACTGTTTTGAATATTTAAGGTTGCTAAGAGTCGAAACACTTATTATTAAAATAAGTGATTAAGTCATGATATATATAAATATGAAATATCAGATTAATACAAAGTCATAGACCTAAAAATAAGTTTGTACCCACAAAAATATAATTTGTCATCCTATACAAACAGACAAGACACATATAAAAGGTAATTATTTCTTACCCTCCTTTTGCTTATCAGTTCTGTTAGTAACAGGCATGTTAGTGGTGACAGTAGGTGGTGTAATACTAGAATTTACAATAGCTGGTAATAAAGATGAGAAAGAAGTTATTTTGCGAGGAGCACTTGACAGTTAATATGGATAAGAAATCTATAATTAATTCATAAAAATATACAGAGAAAGAAACCATTCCTCCTACTAAATTAAACAAGGTCATAATGCATAAAATGAAGCAATGCTTTCTATGGCACATTAAGAATCAGTTCTCACCGCCTCTGCTACCACACTGGACTAGTGCTGGAGCTGGCGCAGGAACAGGAGAAAAAAAACTGAGTTAGACCTACATTGGCTGTTAACAGGCTGATGACCACATCACAAATTATTAAATCTTCTTAGAATTCAGTTTCTTAACTTAGTAAAAATAACAAAAAAAAGTTATCAGCTTAAAATGATCTAAACTAAGCCAATCTCTCTGATACAGGGAATAGAGAAATAAAATATCAAGAAAAAGTATTGTTTTTTTGAGAAGATAAATGTAAAGAAAAACAAAAGAATGAAAGGTATAGTCTGAATCAGTTATTTAGAGACCCCCCAAAACTCTGATACACACTGATTCATAACATGGATTTTTTAAGGGCCAGTTTGATAGGAGAGATGTTTTCAAAGGATTATGTCATAGCTATGCTTCTGCTAGTATTAAAGCTCAACGATTTAAAACTTATGCAATACTTTGATATTTTTTTTTAAGATTTATTTATTTATGCATACAGAGATGGGGTATAAGTCAGAGGGGCAGGGGTGGTGAGAAGACTCACTGGAGACAGAGTGGGAAGCAGAGCAGGCAGATCGACAAAGTACACTGCTGAGGGGAGCAGCGGGCAGGTCGGGAGAGGTCTACCAGCCACGTGGGTCACCTCCAAGGCCAGGGATTTAACTCACACTGAAGCTGCTGCGGCTGGGTTGCGGTGTTGCATCCTAACCTGTTGCGCAACCAGAGAGGGCCCTGATACTAACTTTTTAAGGGATTCTGGAAATGCTACATAATCACTAAAATAACTATACAGATAATTTTTCTTTTTTTTTGTATTTTTATTAGATATACATTCATATGTATAATGAACAATCATTATTTAACTTTTTTAATTATTTCAAATATTAAGATATTTAAGCAATTACACAGAGAAATACCTTCTAAAGGCTTTTTAGAAATTACTGACCTAAATATATAGCCTTAACTAAAACAATTTTCCATTCCAAAGTATTATATAATTCTTTGGCATGGGAGTTCTTTTTGAATTCTTTTTTTTTTTAATTATGATCATTTCTCTTAATGCAAAATCATTAAGAAAAAAATATAATATCATCAATAAACTGAAAATGTTTTTAGTCATTTAGAACATGAGGGGATAACAGCTAGACATCTGGTTCTATGAACCAAGTACAATAGCTAAACTAATTAAAATTTAGTATTTATTTTCAATTTCATATATTTTAAAACTACACCGAGTTCATTAAAGAAATTACTTGAAACTTTACTTTCATAGAATATTCACTGAAACAATATCAAGAAATAATGTCGCAATAGAAAGGCGCAGTTATGACTTGTCCCATTTTTCTCTGCAACCTGGAACCTCAGAAGAGGGCTTAGTTTCAGATTCTGGTCCTTGTCAGTTTCACATTATGATTCCCTTCAGAGATCCCTCTTTGGGGCCTCCTTGATGGCACAAGGGGGTAAAGAAGAGCACTATGAAGCTATCTGCAGCCACTGCAGCATGAGTTGGATCCTGGCCAAGGAGCTGACCCAGAGGATGCAGCAGACCTCTCCTGCCTTGATACTGCTCCCCTAAGCAATGTTCTTCAATCCACCTGTTCTGTTCTCCACTGTCTCTGGTGCATCCTCTCACCCCCACACTTGTAGCCTATACCCCAGTTTTTGTATGCATATATGCATAAATAAATAAATCTTAAAAAAATGAATAAAAAAGAGAGACCCAACTTTTATAGGTCTGGTCAGCATTCTTAATGTGGCACATAGCACATACTACTTCATAAAGAAAGTAGGTTGGTAATTAGGCAGAGCAATGAAAAAGTAAAGCAAAATATTCATATTATTTGAAAACTTATGCAACTTCTACTATGTATTATTGAGCATGCAACTACTTAGTACATAATTAAAAACATGAACATATTATCGTCATTATGCATTATAACAATTAACAAAATTACATTATTAGTTTAGTAGAATCACTGTTAATACTTGTCATTATATACCATCAATTGCCTCATGGTCTTGTCTTAAGCTTAACTGAAGATTTAGCTGAGTTTTTCCTATCAGTTTTTAGATATGAATACTTTTTTTTTAATATTGAATGAATGTCTTTCTACTGAATATATGCAAACTGCTTGAGAAGAAATAAAGGGTTAAAATTAAATCAACTTTTTTAATAGCACATAATCATTCACATTTTAAAAACTCAGTGCTTTCTAGGGTTGTGGTCATCAAATATGTGAAAACATTCTTTATACACACAGCATGAACTTTGCATCAACACAACTAAAACACATCCACAAATTCTTCTGTTTTCTGATTTCTGGCTTCTCTACTGAAAATTAAGATAAATATCAAAACAATGACAAAAACTTTACCTAAAATAGCAAGTAAGAAACAGACCCCAGAGGATGATGTTGGCTCCCTACCTTGGCAGAGGGTCCCCAAATCTGCACAGTTGGCAAGTTCTGCTGCTGGGAATGGTATCAGGTAGGAACCTTGATCAACACAGAATTATTATACAAATTAACTTATGGTTTAATGATATATGACCAGAAAGAAAATCATGACATATATAGCATCCTAGAAGAGTCCACTGGTAAATACTCCAACATCAAGAAAATGTGTTAAGATCTTTGTGTCTTACTCTGCAAATGTAAAGTCAAATTATTAAAATTTCTCTCAAACCTTTAACTCAATTTATAGATTATAGCCACAAAAGACAGGAAAAGAATTGTTATCATCCTTTAAAAAATGCATAAAATGGGGGCCCTCCCTGGTGGCGCAGCGGGTTAAAGCACAGCACTAAAAAGCTAAAGCCACTTCCGCATGAGTTCGATCCCCGCCTGCCTCGGAGCTGACCACATGGCGTGGCAGACCTCTCCTGACCCGCCCGCTGCTCCCCTCAGCAGTGTACTCCGTCGATCTTCCTGTTCTGCTCCCCGCTCTGTCTCTGGTGAATCCTCTCACCCTCTGCATCTCTGGCCTGTACCCCAGTTCTGTATGAATAAATAAATAAATCTTTTAAAAAATGCGTAAAATGTTCAGGACTTTCTGCATAATAAATTACTCAACTCTAATGGGAATTCATATAAATGAAATAATACAAACATCAAAGATAAGTTTCAAATAATGCAAGAAAGATATGGGTAGCATTCAAGCTAATAAAATGTAAGTTTTCAGTTAATAGATTTTAGCTTATGCTATTTGTCATGCCAGAATTTATCTCTGATTTCAAATTAGTCTCTGTGTCTTTTTATTTCAAATATTTACTGATTTATTCTTGGCAGGAAACAAATCTTAAGATGATTTTCCTAGCAGGAGTGTGAACTGTTGTACTAAATCTCCCTTTGGTGTATAACAGACATTCACAAACAGGTTGAGATTGAGGGAGATGAGCTAAACTTATGAGGAGCACACTGTACTATAAGTACAGAATTATAAATTCACAGAAATAAATACACACACACACATATATTTAATTATAGAGGGCATTTTTATATTAGTGATTACATTCTAACCTTTAGACATTTCCCAACCTTTCCACGGGAATACCAAGTACATGGAGGCCGTTAACATACATGAGTTATCGAGAACACACAGACATGGAGAATATCCCAATAGTGTAACAGCATGTCAGATGCATGGTTTCTTTATTCTTAATTGCCTTGTGCACCTGGCCCAAGGAAGGAATCCTGTTACCTCACAAAGACCTAACTTTACAAGCGGGTCGGCAATGCTAACTGACAAGAAGCTCTCAAATAAACATTTACTCACTGTTCATGGCATGCAAAGCATAGAAGCTAAAGTAAAGTCTGAAGAAATTGTCACTGTTCTCAAAGAGGCATAAAGGGAAGGTGGAGTTATAGTTCTCAGAATGTTGTTTGTGAAGTGCTATCCCTACCCCAAAGAGGAAGGTGATAATGGCTCATGAGAAGGTAAAACAGGAAATGTGCTGCGAGGAAGGGGAGCTGTGAAGAATATGGGGGTGACTGTACCGATCAGGGGTTAAGAGACTAGGGACAGGTATTTCTAAGAAACAGAATTACAGAAACATACAAGAAGGCAGTGCGAAGCGCTGGGAGACCAGTTGACATGGCATTACAGGAACAGGTAATAAAAGATAACTGATAAAGGGGCCCTCCCTGGTGGCGCAGCGGGTTAAAGCACTGCACTAAGAAACTAAAGCCACTTCCGCATGAGCTCGATACCCACCTGCCCTGGAGGTGACCACATGGCGTGGCAGACCTCTCCTGACCCGCCCGCTGCTCCCCTCAGCAGTGTACTTCGTCGATCTGCCTGTTCT